AGTTGTGTTAGCTGATCCCCATTCTGGGGAATGAATGGGATTACCCTGGAACAGTGGCACCACTTACCAGCAGAGCTGTGCTTCCACATCCTGGGAAGCCAACTTGCTGTGAAAAATGGTTAACTGTTAATGCCCAAAGGAGAAGTAGTTGTAAATGATAATTAGAGAGACATAATAGTTTTGCTTTGCCATTGTTTCTTTTTGTTTGATTGGTTTGTGTGATTTTTTTGTTTTTGTTTAGTTAGATGGGTTTTTTTTTTTTTTGTTAATGTTTTTTTTTTTTTTTGTCATCTGTATCAGATGAGCTGGTCTGTAGATCAGGTATCTGTATCCTTATATAGATACCTGAAGAATACCACAATTTTCTCTTTTTAAGAGAAGTCTTAAAAGTTGTTCTGTAGCTCACATTTACCTGGTTTAAGCATCATTTTATTTCTCTGGACTCACAGCTCTAGTCTGCTCCAGAAAAGTGAGAAGTTGTTATTACTGCGACCTGATGAGGTCTCAGGGGTGAGAGAAGTGGACGAGAATCTTGTTTGGTGATCAGAAGGCTGGATTTATTGATATATGATATATAATATATTATAACTATACTAAAAAGAATAAGGAGAGAAGTTGCAGAGGCTGCTAAACTAAGAATAGCATAGAAAAGAATGAATAACAAAGTTCTGTGTCCAGGGAATCTTTCCCCGAGCTTGCCCCTGTGATTGGCCCTTAATTGTACACATGGAACATGAACCAATCACAGGTGCATCCTATTGCATTTCACAGCAGCTGATAATCATTGTTTACATTCTCTTTCTGGGGCCTCAGCTTCCCAAAAGATGAACAAATCCCAAAGAAAGGATTTCTATGAAAAAATGTCTGTGACAAGCTGTAAAACTTCCAGCTGAGGATACTGATGAAATGAAATGCAGGGCAGATGGCAAAGTGGTGACCTGTTTTGACAATTCTGCCTCTGCTCCAGGGGCCTGGCAATCATGCCATGGCCAGCTGTGGACGGAAGTGCTGCTGGGGAGGCAGGGTGACAGCACAGCAAGGCAGATGGTTTCCTGCTGGGATCTTCTGAACTCCTTAATCCCAGCCACTGACCTCCTCACTGCCAGTTAGCTCTTCTCTGTGCAACTCCCCTCATTTTTAAAGCCCCAGAGTCAGAAACCTTTCAATGCCTGCCCCAGTCCCTCCCTGCAGCTGGCAGTTCGAGGGTAGCTGGTCTCTTCATCACCACCCAGGGACTTTTCTGTGGAAGGAGGACATGCCTTGGGACAGAAGCTATCCCAGTGCTCAGCACTTTATTGGGCTGGTTCCTGAAGGTCACATTGAAGGTCTGCACCAGTAATTTTTTCCAATATGTAGCATAAACTTCTGTTATTGACAAGTAAAAGCAAAGCACAAATCTTATGATGAATGTTTAGTGAGTAAAAGATATGTGCAAAAGCTGTTTGAGTAGCATTGCATATACTTTCTCATCTCTTTTTTGCCCCTTCCTCTCCCTTGCAGGTCTTTTGAAGAGCACAGAACACACCATTTCCTGAGAGCTGTGTTCACACAGAGAGCTAACATTTCTGGATGCAGAGAGACAAGAGAACTTTGTTTCCTTGGCAACTGGAGCCACCAGAAAGTGTTTCCAGCATTGCCTGCCTTTACACAGGCTCACTATCATTGTAGCCTTTGGTTAATCATGTAGTAAAAATAAATATTAGCTGAAGAAGCATCTTGACAGTGTGCTCCACTTAACTCATGTGGTCTCTTCCCCAGCCTCTAGAATAGGAGGGGATCTCTGGAAATGATTCTGTTCCAAAATGTCCAGTGTTACAGTTCATGACTGAAACCCATAAAGTTTCTAGAAAACAGTGTCGGGAGCTAAGGAGCTTTCACTCAAAGCCTGAGTGTGCTGAGGTGTTGGAGCTGGGTCTGTGCTGCAGCACAGTGAGCAGATGGCACGGTGCTGCACAGAGTCATGCCTGTGATTCAAAGGGGTTCATTCCTGCCTCTGAGTCAGGGCTGAATTGATGTCCCACCACATCTTTAAGGTTTTAAAACACTGTGCTGATGGGGGCACAGAAAGACTTAAGCTTTTGATAAGAAAAAAGACAGTGCTGAAGCCCTTCCTACCTGCTATTAAATATCACTATTTCCCTCCCCCCCAGGTTTCTTATTCATTCAAAGAATTTCACTAGGATTGTAAAAGAAAATGCTTCACAGATACAAAATTCCCAGTTTATGTTTTCTCTTCCACTTATATTTAACAATATTGTATAGCTGACTTTTAATTGAGGCAGAGAGCCTGGAGAAAGTAAAAATTTGTGTAAAAGCACATGTTGTAGTTCCTAGGTTTCAGACAGCTGAATGTGATTTTTTTTTTCAGTTTTGAGGGCTGGAATTTATAATTTAAACAATTTTTTATACTTATGGAATTTGATATACAGCTTTGTACTCTTAATTTGAAAACTCCAACTGGTTCCTGTTGTGTTTCCCAAAGTCCAGTGAGGTGAACACTATCGGGTCTAAAGTATTACAGCAAAAACCTGGGGGGCATGCAAGCCACGTGTTTGTAAGAACATTACTTGAGGAAAATGGCAGCTGAGAGGCGAGACAATGTTTTTTTGGTGCTGTTTTTCTTCTCTAAGTATTTCCTTGCTTTCCTTTAAAAGCAGGGCCTTCTGTCTGATGTAAGCCCTTAGAGGGAACAGGGGTTTCTGGCATTGGTGTGTGGGCAGTCTGGGTTAGGTCACCTTGCCTTTCTCTGCCCTGTGACTCCAGGAGACTCTCTCCTTTTCCACAGGACTGTTGGGAAGGGCACAGAGGTGCTCTGCAGTCAGGGGCTGAAGGAGAGGAACATGGTGATGCACGCTGGTTCTCACTCTGCCTTTAGTTTTTCTTTCAATATCATAGTGGTAGTTTCTGGTACCTGCAGCAAGACCAGTTCCTGCTGAAAATCCTGAAATTCAGGTTTTCATTTGAAAAGCTAATGCAAGAAAGGAAAAGATTATTTTTTAACAGTGCATATGATTTTGATTTGACTTTCAGAAGGCAACCCATTTCCCTTAGCCTTGCTTTCTTTCTACTGTATCACAAAGTCCTACAGCATCCAAGAACCAAAGCTGGGTCTCCAATATGGAACACACATAAACAAAAAGCATCTGGCAACTTAAACATCACCTCTGGCTTAGCCTGTAATTTGCAGAGTTGTGGTCAAACTCCACCTCATTCCAGTCCCATATAGTTACATTGCAAACTCCATGCAGGGCCACACATCTTTTTGTGCTAACTCTAAGATTTGTGGAGAAGTTCAGCACAGAATTTAGCTAGAGAATGAGCAGCTTATTGCCCACCATTAAACATCCACAAAGCTATGAGCCTGCTATTTATCTTACTTTTTTGCTATTTATCTTTTTTGTATCATTTGTGCTGTAGATTTACTCAGAGCAATAATAGGTTTCCTTCCCCATATAGAAGTTTTGGATCCACCTGTAGCAATTGCAGAGTGACAAAATGACTGCTCATAAGAGCTAAATTATCAATGAGTGCTAAAACACTCATTTGCTATCTTAAATCTGTCTTGTATATTTTAGTTGCAGAATGTGGAAAATTCTGGGGAAGATGTTAATAAGAAGTTGAAAATAACCAGTATGATTATTTATGAGAAGATACAGCAACAGTAGTTCCCTTCAGTACATGAGCAGGAGACCGTGGATTGCAGAGGATAAAACTGGAATTGGAATACAATTTATGTTAGGATCTACTTCATCTTCAAAAAAATGACTTCTTCTTAGGTTTGTGTCCCTGTCTCAGGGACATTTCTGTCATGCATTTTTTATTTTGAATTTTTATCCATCATCATTAAAAGTGAAACTTTAGACAGCCCTATACACAGGATCATGAGCAGTTACTGAAGTTCTGGAGTAAACAGTGACCACAGTCAAAGCCATTATTACATTTGAACAAGCCTTTTCCTCTGAGAGAGAGGGTTCTGTACCTATGAAACCTCCTACATGATTTCTCACCCAGCTGACATAATTTAGTGTCTTGATTATAAGTTTAGAAAAAAAAATTGATTCAGAATAGAAAACTCAGTCATATCACAGACACTCAACAAGAGGAGCATGAAGTAAAGTTTCAAGATTGGAAAAGCTTGAAGGAAACCCACAGCCGCTCTCTTTCTCCAAAGACACTTTGAGATGCAGCCAGTGTGGTTGTTCCCAGCCTCTTCTGAAGGAGTAGGAATAACTCAGACTCTGCCTTCTCTCTTCCAATTTGCCATTTAGAGAGAGTTCTGGTGGGGATTTCAAGGTCTGTGTGCAAGGTAAAAGATACTTGAACACATATATTGGTGCCTTGCCAGCTCCTGCTTGAGGGAGTACATTAGGGATAAGCTCTGAGGGATTTCTGTGCACACCACCTCCCTGTTTCTGGCTGCAGCTGGGAGAATAAAGTGCTACAGGGAATTCTGGGCTTCTCACATGGTGTGGTACAGCTTGAAAAAATCTGTACAGTCATTAGGGTGCCCCTCTTTTCTTTGCTAGCCAGCTTCTGACTTTGGAGTTGCAGGTCCAAGTTAATAGGGGCACAGCTACCCAGTGAGAAATGTTTTGGACACAGTTGTGGGGTCAAGGCATGAAGGAGCTGATGGACCAGGCAAGGCATCTAAACTTAGAATTCCCCTTTTATTCAGTGTCTACTAGTCTGAAATCCTGTGGGATTCAATAAGGCAAAGAGGATAACTTCTTGAGGCCTGGGAGTACAGAGGAATTGAGGAAAGAAAACTTGGAAAAGTGTCTTAAAATAAGCATTCATTCACAACAGAACTTATTTCTTGCTTTTCTTTTAATTTATCTGCATCTCAGTGTTTAGAAAGAAGTCATGTGAGCTTCTGAGCTGCGGGGACAGAGAGAGTGGAGAACGTGTGCATCAGTGCAGAGTGCTGCTGGAGCCCTGGCAGAGCGAGAGGGAGGCAGAGGGAGCCTGAGAGAGAAAAGGCGAAGTGGTGGGAGCTGGAACAGCAGCATCTGCTGCTGCTGCACGCTGCAGCTCCTGCCTGGGAGCCGGCTCTGCTGCCAGCACGCCTCTCTGAGGGCGCAGGTGCCTCACATGCAAAACTCCTAGGTGGTCAGTGGCACTTCCAGGAGCCAAGCAAGGCGGCTTTATTCTTTTCTTTTCCTGCCAAGAGCACCTGTTTGAGGACTCCGCTTCTTTTCCTGGACTGAAAGGTATTTTTTGTCATTAATATGTCTTTTCTATGAAAGCAGGTATGGGATCAGGAAAAAATAACTCAGGGCAGGATGTTAAAGAAGATGTGCAGAGAGGTGGTGGGTTTCTCTGTCTCCTTCCCCTTTATAGCAGAGCTTAGGCAGTGAGGAGCCCTTGTTAGGATAGAGTTTGACTTAAAATATGAAGGACAGGAAAGACAGGGTTAAAGTGTGGGGGTGGATCTGAGCTGTTCCCATCTGGCTTGCTTCACTACGCAGCCTTTGAAAGTGGAGGAAAACTTTCCTTGTGCACTTGGAGAAACGGCACTTATGTACCAAGATGCAAAACTTGAAATCATTTAATATGAATGTGATTTGCTTAAATATCTGCTTGGCAAATTACAGTTCCCATCACAGCAGACCTCCCCTTAACACACACAAGTTTCAGAGGTCTTAATGTTCTGTGGCTGTAAAAATACTTCTCTTTCTTTCTCTCTCTTCCCTCTTTCCAGCATACTTGCCTCCTGCTGTGTGCCCTCCTCCTGGTGTAGGGCTGTGCCCCTATGGATGCCCCCATACAGATTTTCCGTGAGGAGCCAGACTCCACCTGCTCCCCAGGGCCCTGCCAGCCCCCCAGCACCAGCAGCAGCTGGCTCCCGGGCTGGGCAGACTATGACACCAACGCCACTGGGGGCTTTGGGGACGGCCAGCACAACCACACCAGCATCTCCCCCGCCATTCCCATCATCATCACCGCTGTCTACTCGGTGGTCTTCGTTGTGGGCTTGGTGGGAAACTCCCTGGTCATGTTTGTCATCATAAGGTAAGAGGTTTTGGGTACCGGTTGGAAGAGGCGCAAATGACGGTCCTTAATTTTGGCAGGGTGGGGGAGAGGGTGGATTCTGGAAGCCCTACGGTGAGGAGCTGGAAAAAAGCAACTGAAATGACCCAAACCTTGTCAGTCACAGTGGTTTGCCTGCACTTGTGTGTTAGAGAGAGAAAGGACGAGCTGGTGAAATGTGAGAAATCCTGCAACCTGAGGGAAAGCGCGTTGTGCCTGGAGCTGTGTTCACTGGCTGCCCTCTAGGGATGAGATGCTGCTGCATGCGAGGGAAAAAAACTAGAGTGAAAGAAGGAAACTTGTACAAGGCAGCTTTTATTTCCACTGTGAGGAGACCCCGAAGGACAGCTTATGTGTCCAGTTATGTGGACAATGATCCATCATTGCCTTGGCACCTAACGTTTTCTTTAACAAGGAAGGAAAGCCAGGAAATTATAAAGATAGGAGGAAAGGCTTAGTGTAAAGCAAGGGATAATTTTTCTGTGTTTAGCAGTGTTTAATTCCAGTTGTTGATGTTGAATTGAAGAAAGTAGAGAAAGTGCTGAAATACCTTTTCCATGGTTTTCAGGAAAGAGGCAAAACCTTTGTGTCTGTGTTAGTGAAGATTTCAAACTAAACCACTTGGTGAAATGCACTGTTACTTATGCTTGCACTTACACTTGTGTATTGGTGAATATTTTAGTTTGCACTGGGCTTCCTCCTCTTTCTATCCTTTTCATTTGCAATCTGTAGGCATGCTTGGACAGTGCTGTTTAGCAGGGTGATAATGAGCAATGCAGGGCACTGAGATCATGAAACTTCTTGGACTCTTTCTCCACAGCCTGTTTGAATTCTGATAAAGTTTCTGGGGAAAAAAAAATCCCAGAACTGTGGAGTATTCATTGCTCCAATGAAATCAGCTTGTACATGGAAAAAAATGGAGGTATTGGAAGGGATTGTCTTTTGTAAGGGATGTATGATAAGAGTCAAGAAATTGCAGAATGATAAAGTAATTGTCAGACTTGATAAAAGGGGAAGTTATGAGAACCACTGAACTTGTTGATAAGGTACTTAAAAATGATGGGTTATAATCAGGTGAATACCCTTGAATAATGAAAATAAATTTACTAGTCAGTGCAATAAAAAGAGATGCCTGTCAGATGGTCAGTTCAGAAAAAGTGGTTGGCTCCAGTTTTGTGATGTGATTTTTTACCTCTGCATGCCCTTTTGACCTTCATTCAGGGTAGAGATTGAATTTATTTTTGCATTTCTCCTTCAAGAAAAGAGACTCCATACTTGTCAGTTACGCAGCTGCAAAGGCAGAAATTTTCTAAGCCATCAATCAGTAACAAAGACAGCTGATTAACTGGCCTGGGCATGGGAAATAACCCCAAACTTAGCCCTAGAAGTTAGCATGTATAGATTATACTGGTGCACATATATTTGTTTTTTTCTCTTCTTCTGCTACCCTTCTAAGACTATTTTTGTAAGCCTCTAGATAGCTATTACTCACTTTCCTTCTAGTTCCTACATTAGCCTTTCCTTGAATTTTCTCTTTCATCTCTCAATTACAGGGTAAAAAAAACCAAAAAAAACAAACAAAAAAACCAAATATGACAAAAACACCTGTTGTTTTTTTGGGGGGGAGGTGGTTGTTTTTTTCTTTTTTAGATTTCTCTCCTAGGTTTTCTGTGTGGCAAATGCAAATCATTACCTGAAGTGCAGGCAAATACAAGCCAACAGTTCTTGAAATATTTCAAACATTTGTGCGAGAGGTTTATTTTCTTCATTTTTGTCCAAACCTCTCATGTCCCTAGATTTTTTCCTCACATATACTCTCTGCATGAGAATATGTGAAGTATCTCAGGGTAGATTTTAATGACCCATGAACAATCTACCCTGCAGTGATGTCTTTTGTGAGGAAAGACAAGGTCTGTGGGAAGTTTTGGAAATAAGATGGTAAGGGAGAGGCAGATCCTGTCCCCCAGCCATCCCACAATAGCCCCCCTCCATCTGGCTCAAATCTAAAGTGGGATGGGGATATACTGAGGCTCTTTTTTACCTTCCAGCTGAGTACAGGCTTTGTCTGAGGCCCTTTGCTGCCGTTTCTCAACTCTGAATTCCAGATCTGCTCTTCTCCTCCTAACGCCCTCTAGACAGGCAGACAAGGCAGGCATGACTCCTCTTCCTTTGCTCATTTAAATATATAATATTGTTAGAATAGTTCAGTTGGAATTATTATAATAATCATCTAGCCCAACTGCCTGACACTCCAGGCCTGACAGTGGGTCACTTTTTGGGTGACAAAAAAAAAAAGTTTCTCTCTCTGTTCTGAGATTTTCAGTCAGTGTTGAAGTGTCAATGCTGTGGTAGATTCAGGAGATTCCAGAATCTTAAGATGCCTCAGAAACAGGGTCAAATTCAGCCATAGCCTGTAGTATAGGCAGGCCTTGGTCAATTTCTTGCTTTAATACCACTACAGGAGTGGTTTTGCTACTTCTGCATAAGGGCTGCTAAAGCTCATGGACACCAGTGAGTCAGCATCTCAGCAGCTTGTGCAGGGGGTGCTGGGTGAATGAAATCTCTTACAGGTGGAGTGTTCTTCCACTGAGAGGGAAAACTCAGAGTTTCCTCAGAGGAAAAAACTAACAGGAGAATGCCACTTCAATCGTATGTACAAACTCCTGACAAAAAAGTAGCTGAGTTTGATACAGCTCCAGTCAGAAGAGATTTATGCTGAATCTGACTGGGAATGGTCCTTTAGTACAGCGTCGACAGCGTGGCCTCTTAAAGCATTTCTCAGGAGACCTGGATTCTTCTCTTGGTTTTACTATCAAGTTTCAACACCTTTTCCTGTCCTGATGAGTTCACTTCATGGTTTCCTCACATGTAAAATGGAAATGCTGGCATTCACTGTCTTTAAACACACAGCAAAAGTTAGATTTAAAAGCCAAGTCTAACCACTAAAGCTTATAACAGAGCAAGACTAGGTGTGTTGTAAACACCCTGGGCTCCTCAGACACACATAGAGTGATCATTTTGATGTGCAGAAAAAGCTCTGTGTTGAGCAGACGGGGCACTGGCACTCTGTTCCTGCCCGTGGCTCTTGGCTCTCCCGGTGTGGGTGGGTTGCAGGATCTCTCCCTGTGTCTGGATCAGCTGTGCAGCACATGCACCATCCCAGAGGGCTCTGCTGTCAGCTGGTGCATGGACACTCCGTGCCAAGCCATGGCATGAGGGGTGTAATGCTGTCCTGGCGCTGCTGCCTGTCCTGGGGAGAGAGAGTAAGAGAACAAGAAGGCGTCACATTGCTTCTTGTACTGGTGGGAAACATAGGCACTGTGTGGGAAGCACACTCCTCCCCTAGGGAGGAGGAGGGGAAGCATGAAATGGGTCTGCAGATACCTGGTAGAGCTGTCTGACCTCACCTGAGGAAAGTCCTACAGCCGTGTGGTTCTTGGCATTAGCAGAACCTACCTCTACCCCAAACCTTTTCTTTTGAGATTAGCTTTTTCTCTGAGGTCTCAGAAGATATTTTTGGAAGTAAGTTGGCTGAAGGGGATAAAAAAACCTATTTGTCCTTGGAAGCAAAATGGCTTTTTTCTCAATTCTTCTTACCTCATTATTTTTTTTCTTTAAAATTTAGGACTGGCTGTAAGCAAAATCATAGTTTCTTGTGACAGCTGCAGGGAAGAAAATCTCCTGACTAAAGTTACAGCTTTAACTAGGATCTGCATTTACCAAAACCATAAACATACTCTGACAGAACTCTGGGACGTGCTCTCTCTTACCCTCTCCAGATGCCCTTTTTCTATGTATTTATCTTACCCTCATTGCTCCTGGAGTAATTTATTGAGACCAGCTGATATCAACAGGATCCCAAAGAGCCAATCCTGTATTCTTTTAAAATTATCCTTCAAGCTTCCAGTGAACTGAATAATTTTATACATTCAAGAATTTTTAAGAAGAGGTTGTGTTACAGATATGTAGATTGGTTCCTAAGGGAAAAAAGAAACCTTCTAATTCTCTGCTTAGTCTAATGTTGAAGAAAGCGTTTTACCACTAATACATTTTTGTTCTTATATTCATTGAACTGAACAGCATTTTACCTAACAGGAGTGGAGTGTGTTAAGGAATGTCATATAAAATTGACTCTTTTCCAGATTGTTTTTAAAATTTCTTCGTCATTCATTCCAAACAGGAATGAAAATATTTTTTTTAAAAGTACACAACAATGAAATGGATTCAATACATTGGTTTAAATTAATAATAGATTTTGATACCATCAAAAGATCACTTGTTAAATTGCTTTAAATTATTGTCCTAATTTTATTAAATTATATGTGGAAAGAATATTGTTCTGAAATGAAAATTTAGGCTCCAGAAGAGTCGACCTAACTGAATTAGCTGTTCCCTATTGCTGGCAGTTTGCATGATTTCATTCTTTTATGAAATCAAATCAAGGCTTTGGCTGATAAAGGCAGAGGGTGAACTGTACTATACTTTGTGAAGTTTAGGACTTTTAACCTTTCCTTTGCTAATCAAAAATCTGACAGCTTACTACTACCAGCAGAGAGGCATCAAATGGATTGATAGCAATTCATCACGGATTTCAAAGAGCATTTAGCTGCACCTCACTGAATGGAGGTAATTGTGATCAGTTCTGCAGCGTTAGTTCAAACGTGACATAATTTCCATCACAACTTTGAAGAGTGATCATTACCAAAAGCTTTTACAGATGGCACAAAGAACAAGGCAACAGGAAACATGAAAGAGCACAGGCTTATAGAAGAGTATCGATAGTTTCAAAACATAGACCATTTAAACAAAATGTTACTATTTCTAATACTTTTAAAACCCAGCTAGACAGTGACCAAGTGAGACCTGGGATTTATAAGCTGACCAGGAACCCAACTCATGGTCATGCTGTGATAGCTGAAAATAGGCAGGGAGAGCAGAGGAAAGGCTTGAAAGGAATATTTACCACAGACAGTATTAAAGAG